TTACAAAAGTTTTATTCTATTCGATGTCGTTGTAATGAAATTCCATTAAACATTAAGAATTTTTATTTCGTTAAATTTCACAGTCATCATTGATTGTAGAATTAATTAACTTTGGCATCAGATTTTTATTGTTTTATTAACAGGTTTTTCTTCAGATCGAGTTTAGTGAAAATTCCTTTTACGTAACAAGGCGATCTTGTTACATTCAATTTGCTTTGCTTGTATTATCTCCCAAGCCAATCGACATAGCCAGTAGACTCATTACTACTTATTTACTTTTTAATTAAATAATAATTCAAATAAAATAATGATAAGAATAAATGGCCAATTATATTATCTAATAGTTCAGTAAAAGCAATATTTCTTCAAGAGGAACACTTGAGCACTCTCGCTATAAATTCTTGTAAAAAGCGAACTTGAATAATAAGATTCCCCAGTTCGACGATAACTTCGCGTTTACGTAAAACTTGCTCAAGCAAACAAGAACGTGGAATTTTCAATTTATTGAACAAACGCGTACCGTGAGGCTGTTAGTTGTCTATGTTAAGCGACTTATAGCGCGACGAAAATTTGACGTTGCCTTTCAAGATCGGAGTGTATTCGCGTTATTACGCACACGACGAGCACCGTGTTTTCGTTTATTGACGGGCAGATAAGCGTGAAAGAATATTGACGTGCCGATGCACTCATTAACGCCTCCCATAGGTAATCGATACTCGGCGTGCGTCCGTCGTTGCCGACGTTGAAAATAAATGCGCGCGTTGCCCCGCGTCCCAAAATGAGCGGTGTCGTAATCAGAGTGTTCGTACGACAGGCAGGAAATAATAAGTCTTCCCAAACGGTCCTGTTTACAAGCTTTTTCACACGGCAATCGGATTTCCCGAGATTGCCGCCTGTTTAACTTCTTACGGTACTTTCCGTCCAGCATTTCGTTTGATCTCATTTAGAAATCATCTCATTTAGAATAGCTTAATGTGAGAGTATGAAGTAACCTTCTTCTCCAGTTACTAAACATTGATTTATATTATAGGGTGTCTCAAAACTGACGATAAATATTTTAAAGACAAATTTTTTGTAGTATTGTAAAATGAAAATGTCAAGACTATTATAGCTTTTCAATTTGAGAAATTCAAAAACTACGAATGAGAAGGTTAGAATTTTGTGCGCTTAGGGATGGCAAGATGATCGAATCGGTATGAAAGTGCTGAATTTTGTTATTGTCAAAGGCTGAAAGTTCGAGAAAGTATATCTGACCATTTGTAATTTTTAAACTCTTCTCATTTGAAAACTATCTTAACCTCGGCATTGTTAGATTTTTGTCTTAAAATATTATAAAGAATTATTATGTCTTCAAACTATTTATTGTCAGTTTTGGGACACCCTGTATACTTAAACTTACACTCATCTCGATATTTTTCATGCTATTTCAACAAAGATACTAGTTTTAATTCGCGAATATAAACAGATAAATCAAGTAAAATTGTACATAAAGAATCACGAGCTCTTGTTAATTTTAGAACCGAATTTATTTTTTCACAAGGATTATTTTATAAACTTAGCACAGTAATATATACGTATATTTACCGCTGAGAGACAGCGTCAGTAATTTATCCCGCATTAATCATGTAGCTTATTTATTCTTTGTATATTTTTTCAATACACCTATGTATTTCCAGCGTATTTATAGACAGACGGACGTATTTACCGATACGTAATAATTTCAATAAAAAATTAGTAAGCGCAATAATGCAGTTTATTTACTGATGTATGTATTGGCATTAATCTGCATCAGCGGATTTATACACGATAATCACGAGAATGTGATCCGCGTTCATAAAACGCAATCTCCTATTTTCTCGGATACTACGAGAGGCGACAGGTTTATTCTCTCTTCAGAATTATTTTATATACTTGATGACTTATATACTTGATACAGCTACACACATGCAAACGGTCGAGAGATGCGTGGGAGACGGCGTCTTTAATCCATCACCGGTCGTCCGTTAATCACCTGCAAATCACCGAGGCTTATTTTTCCTCCGTCTACTCTCTCGACACAGCCTCTGTGGCAGGCTGGTTTACGCCCTCCACGTAAATCGTCCCCGGACGAGTTCATGCAACCCGTGAAATAGGAGGTCGGACAGCGCGGTCGGAAACCGCGAGCTCGAAGGGTTGGCTTCTCGCGGTTAAAGACCGTGCGTGTTAATCCAGTCGCTAAGTATTATTTAGTGTCAGCGACACCGGTGACAAGTCGATCTAATTTATATCCCGGCTGGATGGAGGCCCCCAACGTTCGCAGAAATACACACAGCAAGCTAAGTTCGCAAGCCGGGCATTTATGAGCCGCTCTGGATGCTCTGGAGACGTTCCAACTGCGACCAACAACGGCAACGCGAATACACCGGTGCATTCGCGATTTCGATTGAAATAGATTCTGTCCATATATGAATGTCTTGAATAAATTTGCGACATGAAATTTCCGATACGAAAACTTTTAGTGTTCAAAATTTTTCGATATCCGAAATATTCGAGTATTTTTCATTCTGATGACGAACACACTATATATACTGCATATCAATTTCGTTAGAATAATGATTACAATTAAAAAATGATGCCATGAATTTTCAAGGATGTATTATATGTATTTTTTAATAAATGATGAAAAAAATTATGAAAAATTACAGATTTTTTATATTGTATTTTTGAAAATAACACAAGAAGTTTGACGACTATTTAGAATTGGATTATTTCACTAACGTTCCATCAATTTAAGATTGACTTTAATCTCGGTTACTTACTGTTTATCTTTTTTTAATTTTTGTAATTAGAAAGTAAATTGCACCGAGATTAAAGTTAATTTTATATGGCAGAACCGGATCTCTAAGTAGACACATTTTAAAAATATAAACCATAAAATAAAGTGAGAAAATTTAAATTTTCATTTAAACTATAAAATTAGATTGTTCAATACAATAAATATTGAACTGTTTTATTTGAATATAACATTCACAGTTTTATATAAAATGAATAAATCTCCAATTCCAGTTACTTTTTGCAAGGACTGTACATTTGATGATACATTTTTAACTATATAATTATAAAAATTAAAGAATTTTTTAAATAAATTTTGTTATGTTAACAATCTCATTTTGTGGTAAATTTTAGAATAGTCTTTCGCGTAAACTGCATAAACAACATCTGAAAATTTAGATCAGAATGCCAGAAAATGAATCATCCAGGCAGACGCATTATTTCAGTATATCGCTACTACCGAATTTATGCATCTACTCGATTCCGGCCGTTAATATCATTCGTGATTTATCGCACATCACGAATGGCGACGATGCCAACATTCACGGCTCATACTTGGCATCAGACGGAATTCTGCACTTCCACTTGCATCGCAAGATTTCTCGCGAAGAAAGGCGAACAGCGAACAGATCGGCTCTTTCGCGGTAATTACGTGTACAGAATTATCGAACGATGCGTCGCCTGGATCGTCGCCAAAATGACTAGGATTTTTGGGAAAACAACGGTGAGGATGACTAACGATTATTACGTATTTATCGCTCGTTACAGCGAGTTACATGTAAACGCGAGAGAGAGAGCGTACGCTTAATTAGCTCAGTACAAATGACACGACTATTACGTTTATAATAACGTGCATTATGAGATAATACAAATAATTGCTCGCGCTCGTTAACCCGCACTTGCATCTCGCCGATAAACCACTAGTAACGAATACCTTTATCTCGGATAACGGGAGGCTATGTACTCGGGAGGTATATATTCTCATAATATTAAATTTAATTATGCATATATGACCAATCTATTCCTATAAATAGTGAAACAATTTTCATGTTCTACATTATAGATATTCTTTTATATTAAATTAATGTAATTTATAACTATAAAAAGTTGCAATTCCGACTAATTATAGAGTAGACCAAGGTAAATCGGATCAATTTTTCTTCATTCTGATAAAAAAATAATTAAAAACTAATTTTATTATTAACACATGAAACGCAACTCTAAATTAACCCAATCACGGTTCAAAGTAAATCTAGATTTTTACGAAGGAAGGTTATTATCATAAAAGTAAAATTATTTGTAATTATACATATAATTATGATTATTTATGAAGTCACAAAAATCTAGAACTTCAAATTGAAAAATCAAATTGAAAAAAAAAAAGAACTAATGTATCACAAATGTCGCGGTTTTTATATTAAGTTTTATTATAATATTAAGTTTTATTATAAATTTTTAAACTTTGATTTGTTTCATATAATAAAATAATAAACATGATATTTCTTATTACATGACAAAAAAATCAAGAAGAGAGGAATATTCCAATTTGTGCCAAAATGGAAGGGCGAAGTAGATCAGCAGTTTACTAAATCAATTTAATAAATTATATACTGTAAAAATCATTTCTAATTTCTATAAGTTTCAATATACCTTTTCGTTACAAAATCATAAAATCCGTGATTTTTTTTAGATTTTATATGAGAAGTAAAATTTCTTCATTACGATTTTTATAATTTTCCAATTAATATTGAATCACTCGCAAGAACTGTTGTCTAGTATTTCCAGTGTAAAGAAAACACACGAAAGTAATAATAAAAGTAACGATAAAACAGCTTGTTTAAAACAAAAATCAACAAAACGGCAAATGTTATATTAATCTAATTCATCCTGTAATTCGATTTGTCTCAATTTATTTAAACAAATATTATATTCAGATATTAAACACTGTAATTATCTTATATTTAGATAAATATAATAAATAAAATTTTTCTTTATATAAATATATTTAGGTACTGTAATTGTCTCATATTTAAATGATATTATATTTATTATATTTATATAAATATAATAAATAATGTTCTTATTTAAATTTCATTTTTACGAAAACTATTTATTATTACATTTTTTATACAAAATTTAAAATATGTCTGAGATCTATAAATGATCCAGATGTTCTATATAAAAGCCGTTTTACGTTATATATTCATAGATATATAATTAGACTCGAAATATATCGACTGGATTCTAGGATTATTACATAGATCCTTATCCACTCTAACGTATTTTACCCCTTCAACTAGCTCGCTCTCGAGCCGTTGCGGCCAAACTCCCGCACGAGTAGGTATAGCCTTGGAACTGACAAGCAAGCTTCGACGAAGATTTCCTCGTGTTGCGGCTCGAGTGCGTGTCTCACTCGACTCCCGTCTTGTTTGCGCAACGCGGTTACTCGAGGGGACCACCAAGGGTCCAACGCTGCGACATCAATCTTTCGGTCTCTAGAAAGAACAATCTCTGTAAGGCAAAGATCGAGGGACGTGCAGGTATTCTAAATAGATAAATATATTAGGTGTTGGAATTAATTCGTAGCGTTTTTTAATGAAAGAATGTTATTTATTTCACATGAGCATTAAAAAATACATTAATGAAAGTACTTCCCATCACTTGTAAAACGCTACGAATTAATTCCAACACCTAATATATGTCAAGCCTTAAGTAATTTCATAAATTCCGGAAAACACTAGTAAACTATGTACACTAGGAAAACATATTTCATTTTGCTTGTAGCATTTCAAGCGAATCTACGTAACATAAGTACTCTTGAAATTATGTGAAGATATCATCTCGCGTTGTAAAGCAAGTGAATTTGATTTATGTGTACTTAAATCAGATGATACATCATAAAGTATATCGTAAAATACTAAACGTCGCCAATGTAAATATTATTATTAGTAGCCTAAAAAATATTAGAGATCCGAAAAATTACACAGTTCATCCCTCTATGTGAAAAAAGGAGAGAGAAACAGAGTCAAGGCTCAACCTCTGCAATCAAACAACGATCTACGCCCCTTAATGACCGAGTGACTGTCGTTGCTCCTTGATTCGTTTCGCGGGGTGTGGCGATTCATTCGCGTTGCGTGGGGTTGAAACAGCTGCGAGTGACACCCCTATGTTGTACCCTGTGTCGCGGTGTTGCTTCCCACCTCTTCTCTTTCTCTCTTTGTCTTTCCTCCTCACAGCCCATCTGAACCCTTGTCGCTCTCTCTTTGTCTCTCTTTCTGTGTCTCGCTCCCGACAGCCCTATACATAATTACCGGGTCTACCACTCGCGTCTGCGAAATTTGCATTATCGAGCTGCCTCTCGTACAACGGGCGGGGTCGAAATCCTGCAACGCGATTATTAAGGAATCAATCACACTCACGCTGGATCTCGTTGACCGAGAGGACTCATTGCGCGAGTACCGTCATCGCCCTCGATTCCCATTGTGCCCGCTAATAGGATTTCAGGCTGTTTCAGCCGGTTACTTCGTCGACGTTATTTCAAGGGATCGAGTAACGAGCCGCGCCCAGTATTTCGGAGACAGGAGAGATTAGCCGCGGAAAATTCAAAGGATCTCCATTTGAACTCACACGTCTGTACTAAAATTTATTCAGCCGCTTCTTACGCATATTGCATGTTTAAACACAAGTTTTGCAATCAAATCATTGATAAATTACGTAAGAAGCGATCGATGTATTCTTCATAGATTTTATACTCGCTCAGGATAATAATTATATATGTATATAACTTTTTTTTTAAAAACGGAAACGTGAAAAGTAAAAATTTTATTATTACAATTAATGGAGATTTTTTTATTCTTTACATAGAGAAAAAATTACATGATTAGTAAAATCATTAACGTTTCTCTTAGGTATTTTATTTTAATATATATATATATATATATATATATTGTAATTGTTTTAATAATTGAATTAATTTATTGCAGCTGTTTTTATGTTCGTTTGCACTAATATAGATTACCTTTAAACTTGGTTTAATTTGCTTTTTATCTTTTTCTAGTTTTAAAAATTAGAAAAAGATAAAAAATAAATTAAATCATGCTTGAAGTTCATTTATACTGACACACTGAAAAAAAAGATGTATCAACAGCGCATTTTAATTTAAAATAATTTTGTCAATTCAATAACACCATTAATGAAACGAATACGTTATTCTCTGTTTTAATAATTTAATAAAATTTTATTTGTTTCATTAATATTATTGTTAAATCAACAAGATTATTTTCAATTAAAATAATGCTTGAAACATCATTTTTTTCAGTGTAGAAATGGTTATTAGACTATAAAAATTACACATATAATTTATCACTGCTCCTCCGGTAAAAAATGAAACAAATAGATTACACTATTATTTACAGTATCTAATGGATAAATATATTTTCTGAATAAATATATTTTAAATTGATTATATCAAACATTTCATAACATTCGAGTTATAAAAAATAAATTCTCAGCACATGCGTTTTGTCATCTATTGAGTCGTGCAGCCCAATAAATAATTTTTTATATAGTTTCTCATATAAAGAAACCATTTCTGACTTCTCCGGAAAGCAAGCTTCTTCTACTTTTAGATCGATAGTATTTTTTTTTTATTTATAAGCGTCTATTATTGCCTCTCGATATGTAACCATTAAGCAGGAATATAGGCGGAAACCGGATTCTCGCGCGACACTCTCGAACGCAGCAACAATGCACACAGCAAACGAAACTTTCAGATGGATCCTCTGGTCGGAACATTATTTATTTTACGCTTTTTCCATCCGGCAAACGATCCCAACGCTCGAGAGTCGAACCGCGGAGGCGTCCATTCGCGCGGCGGGATGTTGATCTCTATCGTCCCACCCAGGAGTTATACTCGTAGTATTTATTACACTCAATAAATTTGAATAAGCTGTAGCTTTTTTATTTTACATACCATAATTCACAGATAACATCGTGTAATTAGAATTATTTCGCTTTCCTCTTTATACTGACAAATTCTGTCGTTGAGGCTTTTATGCGATCAACGTAACCGCGTACCGTCTACGACTTTTCGAATTTTTCTGTATTTATGAATTCTTTTTCGAGTTTCACAGTTCCGTTTATTTTTCTAACCCGTCAGCTCTTTCTCGAGCGGAAAAAACCGGTCTTTCACGTCACTCTTCATTTTTTCAGCTTTTCGAGCTCCGCACGTCGTGCACCATGCATATGCACGCGGCATATCTCGGCGCGTAGATAAAATCGAATTAAAAGAATAATAATAACGCATTCTGCCTTCGTTTACAGACATTGTGCGCAGGAGAGAGCCGGCATCTGTCGCTTTATGGGGGAGGGGGACTCTCCGCGGTGCGTGTTCCATGGCGGTACTCATATACACCCTTCTCTCGTTTCCCCTTTTCCGATCCACGCCCAAGTGGAGACCGCGCGTGCCGTAAGGGCGGTTCGAACGAAATGAAACTGATATGTATGTAAATCACCTGTATCTCTATGTATGAGAAGCGAAAACGTTACGTATCCGCGCGTACAAAACGCGTTACGTATCGCCGTGACTCGTGTATCGCGACCTCGCGACTTTGCTCGCCTGTAAACGAACGAACTATCGCGAATTTACACGTTCGCCGTATCGCGAATGAAAAATAGCTGCGTTCAGCAGAAAAAGTAGCTTTGAAAATGTTGTAAGATTATTTAGTATGATTTAGTTTGTATATTTGAACCCAGTGAGGAACTATAAGTCCATATGGTAAGAATTTTATACGGAGAGAAAATATGGTAGTCGTGGGACAAAACATTGTATTTTGAAGAATTTTATGTAATTTTCTCTCATTCGTTAATAAAACCATAATAAAATACGAAATAAGTTTGAATAATTTTATTAAAAATGTGTAGTGAAAATCTTTGAAGTAGTTGTGGCCCATATTTTTAAAGTAAATTCTAGGAGAAAATATTCTCTCGCAATATTGTAAAAAAAGACATGTAAAATTACATACATAATATGTGTAAAAATGACACAATTTATAAAATATATGAAATTGTATATTTTTACAAAAATTAGATACTTGATACTTTTATATTTTATAATATTATATAACATAATTATAATGTATTACATTTGCATTTTTATGTTAGTACATAATAATACAGTTAAAGAAAAACTACATAATTCGTTGACGAATTAATATACTTAAATATTTCGATAAACTTATCTTTGTAAATTTACTTCTGCAAATTGCTTAATTATTAAAGAACAATAATTTTCTATGTAAGTTGTGACTTTACGTGTATATAATATAGATCTTTAATAGTGGATCTCTCAAATCTCATTATAGGTATGTTGTAATTTTTTACAGCGAATCATATTAAAGAATTAGAAATTTTTCCAATAGTTGCAAAACTACTTTTTCTGCTGAACGCAGTTAATGTAGTTATCCAGTTCGCTTTGGACAATCACGCGAAATAAATCATTCAAAGATCAATCGTTTCTTTTTCTTTTAGATTCCAATCTAAAATCTTTGAGGTCGAGAATTCTCTCTGCTTGTTCGACAAAAGCGGAGCGTGTTAGATGCGTCGTTGCTTCATGCTTGTGCAGGGACACGGGATAATTTTTGCGGGAGGTACGTCACCGTTTCCAGTAGATGTTTTGCAAATTCAATATTGCGAATGAAAGATACACCCCGGAGAGTGGACGTATACCACATCGCAATTCAATACGATCAGCGCGACACGCCGATGCAAGCATTCGCGGAATTACTGGTGGTTATTATCAGAGCCGCGATTGTCGTTGTTATTAATCAGTCGTTAACGCTCCCCGATTCGCGTATCGCAATTCATGCCGAATACCTTGCATGCGTGGTATATGAAAGCGTTTAGCAAAAGCGAGTATGATGAAAGGCGAATGTATAGATTGCAGAACGATATAAATTTTGATATAGAGATTAAAATTTTATTTAGATAATAGAATTGAACTCTGTCTCTTTATATACATGAAAAACATAATAAAGATGCACATGTTCGATGCTTTATTAATTCAGGATATATCTGGTGTATAAGTCACTGCAGAAAAATGGAATTGGAAATTTATATTTTTCGTATAAAAATGAATGTTATATAGGTATATATTGAAACAATTATAATGGGGTCAATATTTATATTTAATAATACAATATATATATTTTATAATTGAAATGGACATTTTCTCATTTTATCTTAATTATTTTTGGAAAACATCTACTTTTTTTATTGAAATAATCCAAGTTCCAAATCACCGCTAAAGTTTTTGTATTACTTTTAAATGTAGTGTGGAAAAATCTAATTTTTTTATTTTGTTAAAAAAAATTAATGTAATCCATCCTGAATGAGTGCGCGCTATTAAAATCCGGAGATCTTTCGTGAAATTGCAAAACGCAATAATATTTCGACGTTTATCGTTATGGTTATTATTCGTTGAATTTCTGTGGAATGC